TCCCCAGTACTGCTTAGAGTGGAGAAAACAAATCACAGTTAACACAAAAACCAGATATAGGTGTACTATGAAAAAAATTGAGTCGGGAACTGGTGGCTCGCGCCTGTAATCCTAGCTATTTATGAGGCAGAGATCAGGAGGATTTTGGTTGCAGGTTAGCCTGAGCAAATAGTTCGAGGACCCTATCTCAAAAATACTGAACACAGAAAGGGCTAGCAGAGGGGCGCAAGTGGTAAAAGGGCCTGCCTAGCAAGCATGAGGCCCTGAGTCCACACTGCCAAAAAGAAAAACACAAGAACAACTTTACCATAAATAGCAATAGCAAAGGACAGGGAAAAATAATATAGAATAAACTAAAGAGTTAAAAATTAGTAGAAGTAAAAAAAATAATAATAGAAAATGGGTAGGGAAAGGATAAAAATAAAAGAAGTGACAAGATTTTAATCAGGAAGAAGCCAGGAGTGGTGCATGCATGCAATCCCAGTATTTGCAAGGATGAGGCAGGAGGATCAAGAGTTCAAGGTCAGCCTGGGCTGCCTTATCAAAAACAAACAAAAAAACAATCTCCACCTCAAAACAAGGAGGGAGAAAAAAAAAGTACAGTGAAATAAAAGTCCAATGAAAAAATTAAAAATACACAGATATATGCCACTACAACGAGCCCATCACCCTTTTCTAATTCCCACAGCTTTCTCTTCTCCTTGGAATTTTTTGTTCCAAAACCCAGTCATGTGGAGGATACTTCCATTTCACTGTCTTAGTCATGAAGCTTTGCTTTACTTTTCCCCTCTGAACACTATTTCCCACTGCCTTTTCGCTATTCTTTTCCCTGAGAACTATTAATCTTACTCCTTGTAGTCTTTCTTTTCCTCCTTTCATGATTTTCCTAGCTTTGACTTTCAGCATCTTTACTATAACATGTTTTGTTTTCTTCTACTTGGAATCCATTGAGCTTCTTGTATGTGTAGGTTATTGCTTTTCAATAAATTTAGGAAGTTTTCAGCTATCATGTTTCTGAATCTATTTTCTGCTCTTTTCTATCTTCCTGGGACTCCCATTAAGCCTGTGCTGATGTGATTAGTGGTGTTCCATCTAGGAACTTCTCACTTTTCATTCTTTGTTCTTTGGGTTGCATAATCTTTATCAACATATCTTTAAGCTAGCGTGCGCATTTTCTCTTCTGACAGTCCAGATCTACCTTTGAGTCCTAGAATAGCCCTGTGAGAAACTCTAGTGAGGTTGTATTTATTTTTTTAACATTTATTGCATCTTTCAACTACACCATTTCCAGTTGGTTTTCTATAAGTTCTATTAATATTCTATTTGATGTGACATTGTCACTATGTCTTCCTTTGTTTTTTTCAGTATTGGGGTTTGATCTCAGGGTTTCACACTTGCTAGACAGGTGCTTTACCACTTAAGTACCCAGCCCTTTTTTGCTTTAGTAATTTTTTAGGTAAGTTCTAACATTTTTGCCTGGGGTGGGCCTCAGACTTCGATCCTCCTATCTATGGCCTCCCAAGTCTCTAGGATCACATGTACAGCCCTCACCCCTGGCTTATTGAGATGTATTTTGTTAGCTTTTTGTCCACGATGGTCTCAAATCGAGATCCTCCTGATCTCTGTTTCCCAAGTAGCTAGGATTACAGGCATGAGACACTCTCCTAGCCCTTCTTTTCTTTCTAATCACATTTTCCTTTAGTTCGGTGAGCATGTGAATAATGTGAAGTGGGTTTTTTTGTGGGGGGAGGGGGCATTGTTTCTAAAGTGCTGGACATGGAACCCAGGGCCTTGCACATGCTCAGTAAGCATTCTATAGCAATAGAATAGCTCTGGAGTCTTTTTCTTTCTCCCACATAGTTTATGTTGCTTACTTTCTTCTGGCAAATGAGTCATACTTTTCTGTTTGCTTGCCTTTTAACTTTTTGTTGAAAAATGGGCATTTTTGGGTAAATATTGCAGTAACTCTTTGTATGGATGTCTCTTTCCTCCAGGACTTGCTATTACTTGCTTATTTGTGTAGTGACTGGCTGGATTGTTTTACGGAAGTCCATTTCTCTTTCCTCCACCCCGCCACTATAAAAGCCCCTAAGTTGCTTGTCAGGGAGGTGCAGCATCCTATAGTCACTATGGGATAAAATTGGTTTTGGTCTCTTCCACTTTCCTTGACCACTCTCAGCTGCTGAACTCCACTCATTGCTGCAGATTGCTGTATGGTTTTCTACAATGTTCTGGAGGATAAATTGCTCTATAAAGCAATCCAACCAAATTTTGGCTACTTGGAAGGAATTGTTTCTGAAGTCAGAGTTTGCTGTTCGGTTTGACACCCCCTCCCCTTCCAATCTAGGCAACTTAATTTGCCTTGTATCTTTTTAAAATTGTTATCCAGAGAAGGTCTCCCCCACCTCCTGCTTCAGTTTCCTAAGTGCTGGGATTACCAGCCTGTGCCACCACACCAGACTTAAGTTCTGTAGAGTTTTAAATGCTTCTGAGTAGCTAATGTTCAGACAGTCAGTGGAGAATTGATGAAAACTAAAGTTGAAGCCTAGAATTTTTTGATATATAGAGTTGAATAAATGTATTCTTAGTACAATTAAAACATAAAAATATTCCTTAATCATACAAAAAAAATTTACCTACAGCTAAAGTTCTTCATTTTGAACCTTAAACCAATCAGCAGACAACTGTACCTTTTCCCATTCTAATTAGTTTCCCACTTCACAAGACTGGCCATAAAAATCACCTGACCGAAGTCTTTCTTAGCTTCCTAAGACAGAGATTTACTACACCAAGCTAAATAAAATAGGGTTTTTGGGACTCTAGGAATGTCTTAATCTTCTGTTGGAAGGCTCCAAAGGATTACCTTATAAAAACAGTGAACTACCCATTGGAAAAAAAATTATTATTAACCTTCAAGTAGGTTTCTTATGTCAGGCATGGTCTGCTTAGTGGTTGACATGGTTCTAATCGTACTGTATATCTCTTGCATTTTGGAAAAGTAAGCTTTTAGAAATCTTAGGTAAACATTTTCAGTGGAGGTAAATCACTCTATAGTGTTAACTTCATAGAGTATGTACTGAAATTTAATCATCCCATCTCCCTGTCAATAGACAGCTGTTTCCCAATTTTTGCTATAAAGAAACCTGTGATATATCATTGGGATAAATCCCCGAAATTACAATTAGCAAACTGAATAGTGTGAGCATTTTTTTTTCTATAGCCACATGTTTTCAATACTTTTATCCATTAACTTCTACCTCCAACTGAACGCTCCACTGAACTCTCACCTGTGTATCAGAAGTATTTTAAGTAAAGGTTTGCCTACACATTTTAATCTATTTTACTTATACAGCCTTTAAAAAAATGTATAGGACAGGTCTCTAGTTCTCAGTTGGCCTGTACAAGTCTCAAACTTACTAAGTAGACAAGCAACAGAAGTCATAAGTCACCTGGGAGATGAAGTGTCGAATATTAAACAATTACCATCGACATAGGTAATCACATGGTAGTTTTGTTCATAGACAGCAAAACCAGGCCTCTAAGACTTAAATTTTCCCACTTATATTCTTTTCAAAAACCTTATTTATCACTGGTATTTTTCTAAATTTTATTTTGGTAGGACATTATTTAAGAAAAGATACTGCATAGTTGAATTTGAGAGATCTGTTTGGTAGGCTGGAGTATGAGTATGAAGTGAAAAAAAGGCAACTTTTACTTTATTTTAAAGGGCGCATCTGAGAATATCCTTTAACAGCGCGTTTTAGGTCCCCGAGTCGGTTGCGTGTCGGTCCAGGCGTGGGCCCTGAGTTCACCTCGCTGGCCTGCTTCCTCGGGTTTAGGACACTTGCTGGACGCTGGGGAACAGGTGAGCAGTGGAGGGTTTGCTCAGCACTGCCTCCTGTTAGAACGCAGGTAAACCTCCGCACACCCGGCCCTCAAAACAGAAGAGCGGGAAGAAGGCGAGCGGGTTTGCGGTCCCCCCGCTGACCGAGCGCGCGGGCTCTCGTGTCCCACCCACGCCCGCCCCCCATCACCCAGCGAAGCCTGTGCGGGAGCCATGCGGGATAGGGAGACGGATCCCGGAACGCCGGGAAACGCCGAGCGGCCACGCGACCATGGTCGCCGCAGGGACTGGCGACGCCTCCGTGCCCATCTGCCTAGGAACGCCACACAAGCTGTTAGGCTGGCAAAACGTAGAGGGCGAAAGTCCTATACCTTCCACCTGCGGCTTGCTGCCAACGAATGCCCTCTCCCGCCACTGCTACTGGCCTCACAGGGCAGCAGAACCGGACTCTTCACCCCTGCGAAACTAACACAGGACCTTCCGCGCTCGTTCGTGTCCGTCTTTTCCCCCCAGCACCGCGAGGGGCTACGACCGGCAGCGGGAACCACACTTCCCGGCGTCCTCCGCGGCACGGAAAGGCAGGCTAGGGGCGCGCAAGGCGCACCGGGAGATAGCGGCCCGCGAGGCCACGCCTCCTGCTCCAGCGGTTTCGCGTCTCCTGCCGCCCGCGGCGTCAGCGGCGTCAGCGGCGTCGACGCTCACGCAGGGGCGGGGCGCGGGGCGCGAGGCGCTGCCGGCGGGAAGAGAAGTCGTGGCGGCGGCGGCTGGGACAGCAGGAGCGGCGGTGCTGTCGGCCGTCGGAGCCATGGGAGACCCGGGGCCGGAGGTGAGTAGCCGTGGCGTCCTCAGGGCCGCGCCGAGCCGCGGACGGCTCCGTGCCTCCTCCGGGTCGAGCCTGCTGCTCGGGCGACGCCTCCTCGGCGCCCTGCAGCAGCCATGGCCGCCCGGCCCCCGCCGCCCCGCTCGGCCGCAGCCGGGGCCGCCCCGGCCTCCCCTCGGAGCGGACGCGGCCCGGTCCCGAGCCTCCTGTCCGCTCGGCCGCGGTCTGCCGGCGTGCGTGGCGCGCTCGGCCCGGAGCTTTTGTCTTCAGCGGGCGCGTTGGGATCCGGCCCGGGGCGGGCGCTCACGGACACGCGTGTCCCGCTTCTCTCCCTAGATGATAGGATCCGTCCCGGCGGCCGGGCCCGCGGCGCGCGAGCCAGCGGCGGAGGAGAACGAAGATGACATTCAGTTCGTCGGCGTAAGTAGAGCCTTGGTGACCGCAGCGCGGACGCGGTGCCGCGTGGCGTGGGGTGCGGACGGGGACCAGGGCCGAGCGCGGGGCGCGCAGCGTCCTGCCCGAGGCCGTGGTTTGAAGCGGGCGACATGATCCCCTGAAAGGACGCGCAGGGCGAGCCAGGGGCAGGTGGAGGACAGGGAGGGAGGGTCGTGAGAGGGACAGACAGCTGGAGGACTCCTGACCTCTGAGGTCATCGCGTGACAGCACAGCGCAACAGTGAGGGCTGGAGGCCCGGCACCCCCACCCCAGCCCACCCCCGCGAAAGTGAATGCAGACCGTTGGTGCTGGTCTGAAAGCATCGCGCATGGCTGGGGGCGCGCTGAGTTGATTCCCTTTGGGACAGGGGTTTTAAAGTGTTAGCAAGTGGAATTCAAGGTGGATCCTGGGAATCTGCACTGTGGAACAAATGCACACACGCACGGACCTCTGAGCACACGTTGTTATTAAGCATTGATTTGGGGAAAAGGTGTGTTATCGTTTGGGTAGTTGCCATTTGGTATTAAAGCTATGTGATTTTTTTTTCCTTTTGATTGTCCATCTGATGAATATTTGTGGGTATTGTTGACCAACTATATAAAAGTTGTTATAAAACAATATCTTCCAAAACTTTGGGCCATTGTGGTGGTCCATTGTTGTTTGGTGTTTTCATGGATTTGTTTTGAAGGGAATCATGAATTGTTTTCTTGGCTTGCTTGCTTGTTGCCTGTATACATTGTACTCTTTGCTTTTCGTTTTGAACTTTGGGGATTTGGGGTGAGTGGTAGAAATGCGTTGTATCCCCTTCACTGTGGACTGAAACATGTTCTTTTGGGACAGTGTTGGTCACTGACCCCATGGCTATGCATAATCCTAAGCATGAGCTGAAGTAAAATTGATGACAGCATTCCGTAACTTACTAGGACAGATGTTTTTGGTTCTTCCTGAATCTTGGTATATTTGTGAACAGTGTTTACTTTTATGTATCATACAGATACAAGTAGGAATAACACTTTTATTTATGAATTATGGCCTTTTGAGAAACAGGCATTATAAATAAAAGGCTTCAAAGCTAAATTTTTATACCCTGTCGAATCAAGAATTGCATTAAGCTTTTTTTTTGGTTCAGTTTTAGCAAGGGGTAGGGGGGAAGAGAGAAACATTTCCTGTTCCCCACACAGGAAATGGGAGCAAAGACTGCATTAAAGTTTTTAATTTAAACTTTATTTTAAATGTAGAAGATCAAGAATAAAGAATGAGAAAATTCATTGTATATTCAACTTAATAAATTTTTCCCTGTTTCCAGAGAAAGATTGAACAGTTTGACAGTTCTGAATGGAAAATTAATTGCATGTTTTAAGTGCAATTACAATACTTAAGAAACCTATTTAAAACTTCTTCTGTGTTTAAGTGGTACCACTTAAAGGGCAATTAGTTATAGCTTAATTCTGTTTTAAAATGCATCTGAATTATAGCACAGTGGAGGCCAAAGTGGGAGGATTGTGAGTTGGAGTTGAGCCTGGATTAAGCAGAGTTCTGGACCCCCTTGGGCTGCCTAGTGAGACCTTGTCTCAAAAAACCAAAACCAGCCAAAGAGCCACTCAGAGACAGAATCTTGGACTCTGTGTAACCCAGTCCCAGATTTCACTCTGCAGGTAATGCTTAACCAGTAAAGATGAAAAATAGTTCTCTGCTTGAGTTCTTCAGATTACAAAGCACATTATGATGTCACTTTTTGATTTACTCATCTAACTTTTAACCTACGTGGTGGCACAGCAGACTTTCTGTGGTTGCAAAATTTAGAACTTGAATCCAAACACGGTATGTTGAAGGAAAGGAGTGATAGATATGCAGATATGAGCCCTTTCACTTAAATTTTATTGAAATGTGCAGAAAAGTGCACAATTCATAAGTGGATTTTTGCAGTCAAATACATTTGTGTAAACAGTACTCAAATCAAGAAACAGAGTTACTATAACAAAGTTTTTACCCTTGGGTTTCTTGCTTTATTTTGTATAATAATATGTCTCTTTATTGAACCACTGTCTTTCTATCTATTTTTGAAATGGTGATCTTTTATCATATTTACTTCCAAAAACATTAGCTAAAAGCTGTTGACAGAATTAATTCACAGTGCCACCGTAGGTATAAAAGTATAAAAAAACTGTGCAGGAAACCTGTCATAGTCTTCATAATAGCACAGGAACTTTAGGTTTCAGCTAAGTTTATTAGTATAATATAGAGTCATTGAAAATTTGGTAACTACGGAAATCTAGAGATAACTTGAGCACATAGGTTGAGTATTGATGCTTTTAGCTGCAGTAGAAAATGAGTATCTTTTCTCTGGGTTTCTTGGACTATAATTGTCATCAGGCAAAAGTAGTGTGAAGCTTGTAATACTCAAAGACATGCATTAAGTACCTTAGAGCTCTGTCCATTAATTAGAAGTCTATCCTCCCCTTAACTGTCAGTATTTTAGTGCAGGTAATAGGATAGGAGAAGTGAGGAAATGTTCTAATAGACAGTAGAAAGTTCTTGTTTAAAGAGTTCATAGTGCTTTTTATATTTAGTTATTTTTTGGCGAGGTACCAGAGTTTGAACTCAGGCTTGCTAGGCAGGTGTCTACCACTTGAGCCACTCTGCCAGTCCTCACGGTGCTTTTAAAGAATGCAAGTTTGTGGCTTTGGCATAGGTAGTTCTTGGTTCTTTATGTGTGTTTAAAGGGCATTTTGTGTAGAAAAAAAAAAAAGGAAAAGCTGAAAAAGGAAAGGATTAAATGTAATTTTAGAGGATCAGGTGTTTTTATTTTAATTTAAGTTAGTTTTTACATTGGAAGAGGGAAGGATGGGCCAGATGGCACATTTGAATGTTGAACTAAATTTGAATTATAAAGTAGGCAGTTGGGAGTTATTTGAAAAAAGGTTTTGAACTGGACAGGGCTACAGAAGTAAAATACGACCCTAAGTTCACTATATGGGGGAAAACATGAGTTATTTAGGATTTTAAGTTAGGTTTTTGTTTTTATGCCCAAATTCATATTCATTGTTTCAGAAAATTCTTAAGTTGCCATAAACCACTTTCTTTTGTTCACCATATTTAATTACATTACTGTCTTGTTCTAAGTAGAAAATTGGCGCATTGGTTTTGAGAATCAGTTTCCCAATTAATAGGAATGAGATTTTTCTATTTTGTTAAAATAATATTTTTAAAATTTAGAATATTATGCTGTGTTCCTAAAATGTTTTGTCATGCCAGTGCGTGAGCCCTGCTGCTAAATTGTAATGCCATTTGGAGTTGAATCCTTTGATTTTGTTATTTGTACAAGCAGGGATGAGAATAATCATTTACTAGTTGTAATATCTATATAATACCTATCTATTACAGATATAAGACTATTTCTTTATATGTTTATTATAAACATTACTTCTTGGAGGAGGTAGTAACTTATCTTTGGTCCATGTTTTGAAATGTTCAGAATGAGGCAATAGCAGATAGTCTTTTTTTTCTTATTAAAGGGAAAGAAAATGTTTTTTCTCAGAAACCTAGGCAATAAGTAGTGATTTAAAAATAAGAGTTCATACTTTGAAGTACCTCAGAATTATTGCGACCCCACAGCCAACTTATGTTTAGAGAACCAGACTACTCCACTCACTTTCAGCATCCTTTAAATGGGGTAATGGTAATAATTCAGATGTCAGCTTGTAAGGCAGTTTTGGGGACTGGATGAGACAGTGTGCATGAGGAGCTTACATAGTGCTGGGTTCAGGGCTCAGTAAGTATTCTGGCTAATGGTAAAATAATCAGAGTCCTCAGTATTCTGGAGTTACTCTGTATCCACAGAGAAAACCAGCTAAAGTGTACTATGTTTGTATACAAGCAAGGTACTTATTTTTCCATCCAATCTACTTGCCTTTTTGACAGTCTCTTAACATGTTTTCTCTTTTTAGTGTATCTATCGCTTGTAAATCAGTAATTATTTTTTGAGTCAACAAATAAACTTCTTTTTTTTCTCAGTTTTGGATTTTTCACCCTGATTTTTTCTTTCATTCTAGTTACTGTGAATCATATGAAATTGTGTTTTGCAGTCCAAAAATGGTTGTATATCAGTATAGTAGTTCACTCCAGTAGTAAATTCCTGGTAGTCTTGTCTCATCTGTCCTTCCTCTTGACATTTATGTTACTTCTGCAGCTAGTTCTTAAACTTATTTATCTTTTTATTTATTCTGAGATGCCATGGATTGAATTCATGGCCTTGCACATGCTAGACAAGTGCTGTACCATTGAACTACATCCCCAGTCCTCTGCTGCTACTTTTTAATCCCGTTTATAGCCATTTTTCATTCCGTTTTGTTTGTCTTTGCTTTGTTGAACTAGGATCTCCCTATGGTGCCATGCTGGCAGGAATTCTGTATTGTAGTCTAGGCTGGCCTCCAGCTAGTGATCCTTCCGCCTCAATCTCTCAAATGCTGAAATTATAGAAATGTATCACTGTGATTAGCTTCCCTCTTTTTCTGTACTTTACGTTCACAGAAATTCTGCCCATGTCTCTCTTTTTTTTTGCCTACTTGGGGACTTTTTTGGTTACTATTTCTGTGGTACTGTAATAAGTTCCTAAAAGCTGAATGTGGTGATACATACCTCTGATTCCAGCACTGAGAAGGCTGAGGCAGGAAGGTTGATAGTTCAAGGCTTTCCTGGGCTACTAGTGAAACACTGTCTCTAAGTAAATATTTAAGAAAATTAAACTTCCCTTAAGAATTCCCTGCCTGCCCTTTGCTTTTTTGAAACAGGGACTCTCTGTGTAGCCCAGATTGGCCTCAAACTTGTGATATTTCTGCTTCAGCCTCCCAACTGCTGGGATTTCAGATGTACTTCCCATCCCCCCAGTATCTTTGTGTGTGTGTATGTGTGTGTGTGGTATTGGGATTTGAACTCAGGGCTTTGCTCTTGCTAGGTAGGTGCAGGTGCTCTGCCACTGAGCCACACCTCCCCCTGTCCCCCAATATCTTGAAAAAATTGTCATTATTTTTTCTGCCTCATTCTCGCCTTGCTTTTGTTGTTCTTTTAGAGTCTGGCTTCTGTGCTCTCTTTCTTCAACATTGTTCTCTCAAAGGCGTTTAAAAATGTCCTGTTGCTAAATTGGGTGATGTCTTCTTGGTGTTCATTGTTTTTGCACACATTTAGCATAGAGAGCTTTTTGTTGGGGCAATATAAGCTCCTGTTTAGTTGTAGAGTTCAGCATTCTAAGGCACAAGTCCCAAATCTCTGTTTCCTGGTATGTTCATACTCCCAGATTACAGGCCTGCATTTCCAGCTGTCTTCCAGGTACCTATTCATACTTGAGTCCATTATGTCCAAAAGAACATCAGTTTTGTACGTCTGCATTCCGAATTTATACTAATGACTAGCATTCTAGTCATTTGAGCTCAGAATTTCAAAAACCTTTTTATTCCTTGATTTTTCGGGACTTGGTGGGGGGGGTGGCGTCAGCAGTACTGGGGTTTGAACTTAAGAGCTTTATGCTTGCTGTACAAGTGCTCTACCCCTTGAGCCATACCCCCAGACCTTTTTCCTTTTTGATTGATTGATTTTTGGTGATGCTGTGGTTTGAACTCAGAGCCTCACACTTGCTTGGCAGGTGTTCTACCACTTGAGCCACTCCGCCAGCTTGCTTTAGTTATTTATGCCTTGGCTGGACTGTGATCCTCCTTATTTATGCTTTCTGTGTAGCTGAGATGACAGCCCCACAGTGTCACGCCCAGCTTTGATTGGTTGAAATGAGGTCTCATGAATTTTCTGCCCCAGCTGGCCTTGACTGTGATCCTCTCGATCTCTGCCTCCTGAGTAGCTGTAATTACATATGTGAGCCACCTCACCTGGCCTTAATTTGCTATAGAATAAAATTTGGGCGCTTAAGCCTGGTGTTCAAGACCTGGTCTGTGAAGAAATCAACATGAAAGGAAAGAAAGGTGGGAAGAATCTGGGTTTGATGTTTTAGTCTGTGCAGTGTGGGATATGAAGATAAGCTGTTGGTAAAAGAGCTCATGTTTTGAGCTTGGATCATTCTTATTTTTTCCTTTTTTTCCTGTTTTGGGGATTGAATTTGGGGCTTTGCATAGGCTAGGCAAGCTCTCTAGCACTGAGCTACTTATCCCTAGCCCATGAGCTTAGATATCTTTTTTTTTTCTTCATTTTTCTTTTATTATTCATATGAGCATACAAGGCTTGGTTCATTTCTCCCCCCTGCCCCCACCCCCTTACCACCCACTCCGCCCCCTCCCTCTCCCTGCCCCTCAATACCCAGCAGAAACTATTTTGCCCTTATTTCTAATTTTGTTGTAGAGAGAGTATAAGCAGTAATAGGAAGGAACAAGGATTTTTGCTGGTTGAGATAAGGATGAGCTTAGATATCTTAACAGACTGTTGATTCCCATCCCTTCATAGTATCTGTATCTTGGCCTGGAACTTGCTGTGTAGCTCAGGCTGGCCTTGAGCTCCTGATCCTCTTGCCTCAGCCTCCAGAATGCTGGGATCACAGGCATGTACCACTATGCCAGCTCTGAATTATTTTGCTCTGCTGCTTTTGATTATTTTCTGCTACCCATAAGATTTCCTCTTCAGAGCCAATCCCAACAGACAAACCCAAAAAAATATTGTTTTAAATGTTAGTTTGTTTTAAATAACTGTTCATGATATGTGTATTTGCTCAATTCTATTATAGGAAGGACCACTAAGACCGGTTCTTGAGTACATTGATCTGGTCAGCAGTGATGACGAAGAGCCTACCACCTCTCATAGCGATGTAAGTACATTGCATTTGACTTGTACTTTTTCACTTGTGTCAAGTTAAGAGGCTTTTTTAAAAGAGTTCACCAATCAGTGATGGCTGTGTTGAGGAGTGATAGCACTTTAGAGAATGGCTGTGATAGGCACTACAAGAAGTTTTTTTGCCCAGAACATTTCCTTCCAATTTTGTTTCTTCTACTTTCAGTGAGAATGTGGAAAGATAAATTAACTCTAGGAAGTTCTAAACTCTAGAGGGAAATTAATAATAATAATAATAAACCCTGCAAGCTTTTTGGCTTCTCTTGTGTTTGTTATTTGTTGTACTCTTCGTCTGTTGCCATGTAGAACTGAATCTTTTCCTTCCAGAAGCACATGGCCACAGAAACTTTGGCTTATTTTGGTAGAAAGGATGTGTGAAAATGGAATGTGGGGAATGATTTACAGCTGATACATTACTTCAGTCTTCATCCCTTTGAACCTTCTCTTTCCCCCAGTTCATTTGGAATTATTATCTTACCTGTGACTTTGCTGGTTGTGGGCTTGACCCTTGTTTATTTACTCTGAGAGTTGAATTAGTTGAACCCTTTGTAGCAATCTTGCTTTTCATTTGTCTTTGCCTTAGCCCAAATTTCTATTAATGGACTATTTTCCTGATGGATTGGAGAATTCCTGGCTGTTGCTCATGGTGGCCAGAAAGCTACTTGCTGTATGATATGGGGGATTGAGACTTGGACTTGGAATCAAAATACCAATACTGGTTTAGGACACAGCTGTACCCCTTTTATCAATCAAGTGAGAATAATACCTACCTCACAGGGTTGTTGTGAGGATGAAATGAGGTAATAAACTTGTACTCTCCTTCAAATTTCAAACCTTAAGCCGGGCGCCTTGGGCTCATGCCTGTAATCCTACTTAGGAAGCAGAGATGAGGATCACGGTTTGGAATCAGCCTGAATAAATAGTTTGCGAGACCCTATCTCGAAAACACCCAACACAAAAAAGGGGTTGGCGGAATAGCTTAAGTGGTAAGAGTGTCTTCCTAGCATGTGCAAGGCCCTGAGTTCAAACCTCAGTCCACCAATAAATAAATAAATAAATAAAATTCAAACCATAAAACAGGAATATACAACTAGAAAGTTTTATTCATGGAGACTTACTGACAGAATTTTACAGGGGCTTAAAATGACTAATAGGGAGTTGCAGATTTTTTTTCTTCTCCTTAGGACTTTCCTCAAGTTTTCTCTGCCATTATTAGCTTCCACTTGTTAACTTACATATATTGAGTAGGGATATTTTCATTAATTGTTCTTACCAGTGGTCTCACCACCTCATCTTATCTTAGCTCAAAATCAAGCAGCAGGCTATGACAGTACCACTTGAAGTGAGCTTATTTTTAGTCTCTTGCTTGTTTGTAGACAAAGTCCCATATTAGACTGCATCATTGGGATTTGTGGTAGCAAAGCTTGTGGATTTGACTTCTATTCTTCACTGACCTGTAGTATTTGCAATTTAAATTATTTATAATAATTTAAAATTTGAATTCTACTTACTGGACATGCATCTCTGCACTTGAAAGTTAACATATTAAAAGCATTTTTTTTTCTTCCTTGGTTTTCTTACTCATGTGGATAACCCAGAGAATGCCTGAATCTAAGGTGCCATCCTCTGAGAATCATCGCCCAGAAATGTGCTCTAGCTGCAGTGTTCCTCTTCCCATTGGAGACAGCAGCTCCTCCTCTGGGAGTTGTACCAGCAGCCCACAAAGAATAGTTTCTCAACCTTCCTCTGTTGAGAACTCATTGGAGAACCAGAAAAATGATCAAAATAATTCAGATATTAAGAGCTCTGAGACAGAGACACTTAAGTCATCACAAAATTATCAGACTCTGTCTTCATCTCCACCTCTGGTCCCCCAAGAATCTTCTGAGGTTAAAGAGAATTTACCTGTAGCATCGGCCTCAGCTTCACAGCACGGACAGGATGCCATACTCTATCTTCAGACACAAGTGGCTGAGATGTCCCGGGTGATACGTGATCTGCAGTCCAGGAGCTGTTTTAGATTTCATCATTCTAGGCCAAATGAGAACACCTCAGTTCCTTGGGATATCTCAACCTCTAAGGATGAAAACTTGGCCACAGTTGAAGAAGAGGTTGATTGCAAGTTCCCATCAGCTGAAGACAAAGGGCAGTCACCTGACCACACCCAGTCTAGTTTCACAGGTCTTTTGAAGAGAATGGAACAAAGAGGTGTTATAAAGAGGGTAACTTTACAACCGGAAACTGAATCCTTTGAAGGGAAACCTGATTGTGTGACCTCTAAAAAACGTTTGGTTCCTCCATTGCATCCTCTTTTGAGAATTGCCACCACTGAAGTCTTTAAAGACCCTGCTGATTGCCATCCTTCTTCCTTCATGGGGCACAGGGTATATTCTGTGGCCAAGGATACCTCTCCTTTCCAACCAAATCCACCAGCTGAGGGCCCTATTGTTGAAGCATTAGAGCATGGCAAAAGAGGAAACTCAACATCTCCTCTAGATTCTACCTCAAAAGAAATGGAGATCATGGGTTGTAGGTTCTACCATGCTGCCTCCATTGCAGCCCGAGCTGCTAGCTACATGGCCTATATGACTCAGTATCAGCGAAAACTCTGGGAAGACATGGAGGAGCTGGTTCATGACCCAGAGTTTGACCGTGGAAAAGCAAGGTGTATAATATCTGATGGTATGGATGCGGGCCTTTGGCAGCTTTGTACAACTAGGGACATAATGGACTCTGTAGTTAGAGTCATGGCCATGGCAATAGACTACAGAAGGCAGGCCTGGCTCCGACTGACATCTCTCACTAAGAAAACACAGGAGAAAATCTTACACTTGCCATTTGATGGTGCTTCCCTTTTTGGTCAAGATGTAGATGCTGTTGTTGCAGAAGAAAACAGTATTAAAGAAAATGATTATAAGGATCACAGTAAATACTATAACCAGCATCGATACTTTTATAGTCATGAACAGAAAGCTCATTATCACAACAGAGGGTACTCCAAAGGGGACTGGTACAAACCGCGAAACCACCCCTATAGATATAGAAAGAAGGGAGAATCTCCAGAACGCCATGGGTATAAGAATTAATAACCTGTTTACGATAGGTTATTAGTAAAGATAGTCATCCAAGAGCCTATTTTGTTCCTTCCCCACTCAGACAGGATCTACAGGTAGGAGGTCATCTTAAAAACTGAGTGCATGTCTGGAGTGATCACAGCTGATGTTTGAATTCTAGACTTTTGGAATTAAGTATATAATAAAGAGACTCATGTTTTTTTGGACAAGTGAACAATGGGGAGACTTTGTTGTAAGGAGGGTTGAACAAAGATTTACCCATTATTTCTAATCCAGACTTAAGTCTAGAGGAGGACACTTTGGAATTTGAATTGTCTTGTGATTAAAGGAAGAGTTCTTCTTCAGGAGAGTCTTGTGATAAACTGAGGACAAAGAGATTGTGGATTTGGAAACAGTCTGTTACATCTCTGTTTACTAAGACCAGAGGTAGATCCTTCACTTTTAGGTCATCAGTGCTTCCTTGTTCAGGCTTCATCTTGATAGATCTTCAAAAGATTATTGGTCTGTCAACAGACACTGTCAAGATGACCAACTCACCATGAGTTCATACTACTATCAAGCTCTGTGAGACTTCAGAATCAGCCATGAAGCTATGTGCCAGTTGGAATTCAAATAAAATTTTGCCAAATCCAGTTTGCTTCCAGTTGGGATGGCTAGATGTCAAAAGTCTTCTGGACACCAACTTGAAAAAGACTTTCCTGCCTGTAACATCATGTGTAGAAATTTTCACAGTAACTGTCTTCATCAAGACAGATGGTTACCATACCATTGCCACTCATAAAGCTACATGTGAGATAATTCTTTTTTGTCATCAATTCTAGTGGTCTTTGACCTGTCAGGCTCTCCTACCAACTATGAGACTCAAATCATAGAAGTCTCTATAATCTGGGCCTTTCACCAAGATGGCCTTCTTAAACCTATCTTCTAAATGGTTAAATCTTTTGAGCTTGATGATACATCACACTCTCAATCCAATAGATATGTGCATCCATTCCCTGGAAATAAAGGATATTATTTAAGTCATCCAAGTAGGACAATCTGAATTCTTTAAGAGCAAGAATTCCAAACATGCCTGACTATCTGATCTCCTACTGAAAGAGAAAGCCGTCAGTCTCAATCTCATGGAGAAATCCTTAAGTTAAGGATGTCATGAAGGTAGCAAGCCTCACAGTTCTGTTTCTGGATATCTAAATGATGATACCCATTAATGATTTCTTGATGGACTGAGATCAAGACTTCCGTGACATGTTCTTGGTTAAATTGGTCTCTTAATGTTGTCAGACTCACCTGAAGGGGTGACTTATCTTTTTGTTCAAATATTAGTTTTCCATCATACTGGAGCTGGCATCACATACCTCAGTTACATATCCTACAGTATCTTCTGTAATCTCAAGGCAGTGGCTGTATGGTGTACCAGGCCTTAGATCCTTGTCTTCACAGCATGACTTTGGGAAAGGAGAAAATGTCAAGTTTGAGAGGTCTGAATACATCACTCTGGTGTTACTTGCTTAACAGCCAAAAAAAGTTTTTTTTTTTCATAGACTTAAAATTCTGTAACTTACTGGTTTGTCAAACATCTGTCTTAAAAAACTGCTTGGTCAACTGTTTTTGGGTATACTATTAGTGGAATATAGCCCTCTTTTAAGGTTTATGTGATCTCTGTTCTTGCCATAGTTATAACACTGTAGTGATTGGCATTTTCTGTGATGCCGACCTTTTAGTAGTTTTTGGGAAGCTTATTTCTCCTCCCCATCATAGCCATATTCAGCACTCTTTTAATCTACCTTCTTCCTCTTCCTGTTTGTGCTATAGAAATTGATGGCACAATATCCCTACTGGGAAGAAGTCATTTTGTCAGGTAATTGTAGGATACTGTATTGGTCCTATTTATCCTGTTTGTACA